TGACGTGTCTGTTCAAATTTGGCTTCTATCAGCCAACAGTTCCAGCTTTCTATTCTCTTCCCATCCACTCATTTCCCCTCAGAAAAGCAGTTACACAGATCATTGCGAACAGCTGAATGAATGTTTTTTAATGCCCTGCTTCAAAAAGTTAATCCAGCGTGCAAATTTAAGCTTATCTCCAGTGCTTTCTTCGTCCGTAAACATTCAATTACAATCAACATAAGCTTTACATGATGTCTCGCTTACTCTCTAATATGATTTTTTAAGCGTTTTTGACTAAAAGATAAAAATGACACAGCTGTTAATGTCTTACGATAAACGAAAATTTGCTGTGAAGACGGTAACTACTGATCATTTGACGCATGCCCAAAAAATATTCTTATTCCTTTGGATCATTGCACTGATAAACTAAACAAAATCCCCGTTTTTTTTCATTGAGGCTAAGAGTTGTTCCAGACATTTGCCTAAAGTTCAAAATTTCTCTTGAACTACCGAGAATGATGACAAAATCTGTTTACAACTGCTATTCAGATAATTCTACACTTTTGGCAATATGAAAAATGTTGTTTATTTTTAAAAACAAATGCTGCGCAAACTGCAAATTCTGAACAGTGTTTCAGATTAGAATCGGTTTTTCTACATTTTTTGCATCTGCCAATACAAACATTTAAAAGAGGTAAAAAAGAGAGGGAATGACCATCAAAAAATTGAATATATCTGCAGAAAAAATAAAGTCAAACAATTTGTAAAATTTTGAATTTTCTTCTGCTTTCTGCATACACATTTTAAAGACAGAGGAAGAAAAAACAAAGATTTGAAATCAAAAATTTGTACAGCAGTAAAAGTTTTCATTAAAGATATCAGGAATGTATAGATTTATAAATGAAATTTAACAGAACAAAAAGAACTTGGTTTTTGCAATTGTTTATCTTTCATAATCCTGCTATTTCTTCTTTTTTTTTTCACTTTTTCTTCCACTTTCACTCTTCTTCGTAAAACTTTGCTTTTTGCCTTTTTGTATTAGAACAAGTGTAAAGATTTTTTCAGATCCAAAAAAATATTTTTTATGCTTAAAAAAACAGTCTAATTTTGAAAAAATTACTGTCATCATTTACCTTATTCGTTCAGTTTACCACCACATAAAATTCTTAGCTCAAAAAGCACAATGAACGTTTTATTATTCGAAAAGAGAAGAAGAGGAAAGAAGGGGAAAGGGAATCAGAGTGTCAAGAAGACAAAAAGAGAATTTTTTTCCAAAAAATTAAACTATACTAATAATAGTAACAATTTTTTGGGGTGGCACTCTTTGCATGTCCATTTTTTAGGTGCGGTTTAATTTGCACTCTTCTAAGCCTTCGAAAAAAAAATTCACCATTGTTGTTCTTCCACCACCACCAT